ACCCCCATTAACATCCCCCCCATTGCTATCCCTTTTTTTAACCGACTTCGAAAAGGAGGAGGTTACTCAAATCGATCAGTATGTATGTTTTTTTTTGTTTTTTTTTTTCTGTGTGTGTTCACCGATTACTCCGAGATGGATGGATCAATCGGAACGAAACCTTTTGCATCTTGTAGGGTGTGTCTTCCGATTGGTCCCGTTAAAAAAAAATTTTTCATTGTTATTGCAAAATACATGAAGTTTTTAATCTCAAGATTGGACGATTTCAATGACCTTTTAATATGTTGTCGGGGGCATGATTCTGAACAACTTTTTCCTTATACTTCATTAACGGAAAGCTTTAGTTTCCGAGATATTGGTGAAAAACTATTGTTACTACTACATTGAATTCTACGTATGCCTACGTGTCTCTACCGATGTATGAGTCAACATCCAGTCGCCGATTCTCTACTGTTTCTATATACATATGTATACTCTGCAAAGCATGTACCGATCGCGATGAAACCCTTTCACATTTAAGGGGGTAGACACGGGTAATAGTAGCGCGTTGACATTACCCAGCAAAAATGGGCATAAACATGGGTTTATGCACTTCCGTTATTCGTCCTTGTATGACAACATTTAGGGCTGGATGAGGGCTTATTCGAAAGAGGAAGGTCCAATGCACACCGCTCAACTCATGTTTCAGTGGGATTATGTTGATGTTTAGTAATATAAGCGTCCAAAGAAGAGGTAAAAAATCGAAAAAATAAAAAATCGCCCTTTTCGGAGGCGGCGCCAAATTATTAATATCCGAATATACGATGCTGCCAATAATGATTTGATAGGTTGCTGACGCCCGAACTAGGATCTTTATAGTAGAAGAAAGTTTTTTAATTTTGCGCCGCTTCCGAAAAGGTTGAAATGTATTTAGTATACGATTTAACGAGTAAATAGGTTTTATTAATAGCTGTTGGGTATTTGTATAAATGAAGTAGAAATTATTTCATACTTTTTAGTGCATTTCGAAGTCGGTTGTATTTTTTGTTAAAAATTATTTTATTGTTCCTTCTACTCGCTAATTGCGCCTCCCACCTAAATCCTTTTGGTAGCCTGCCTCTCATATTTTCCCACCCCCTTTCCTCCAACCAATGTCTCTATAAGGACCACAGCATCCCATTTCCTCATTGTTTTCCAGAAGTCTTCATCTTTATTTCTTATACTCCAGCACAATTCCAGAATCCTACTGTCCATCCTCCCCCTTCCTCCTCTTTTTTGTTCTCTTCTCTTCTGCCCTGCTGCCTTCCTTTTCGTCTGCTGTACCCTTCCTCTCATACCTCCTTCCACTTTCTTCTTGCACTCACCCCTCCGCTTTTCCTTTCCTTCCTCTTTTCTTTTGCTTGTATATTCTTTCCATGCTTTCTTCCTCCCCTATATCCCTTGCTCCTCTTCCCTCTTCCTTTGTCCTCCTCCCTGGGAGGCCTTCCACTCCCTCCCCTCCCAGTCTATCAGAGCTCCCTTTTCTTCATCCCATTTCCACCATTTTCCTTCTATTCTTATTTTCCCGTGGTCTACCCACACGTATTTTCCTTTCTTTCTTTCTTCTCTTTCGATTTTTCTTAGAGTCCATTGTGTCTTCCTCTTCGCCCACGTTAGGTCGTCCTCTATTCTCTCTTCCCGATCTTTTAGCGCCTTTTTATTTTCCATTATTCTCCTTTTTAGCTCGCTCGATTTTATTTTTAGAAGCATCATGCTGACTTCTTTTCCTCTTTCTACCGTGCCTACCTCTTGTACTTCCTCTATTGCGTCTTCCTCTCCTGTTATCTTTAATATCTCCTCCGCCTTCTCTTTCATCTCCTCTCTTCTCGCTTTCGTACCTCTGATTATTATATTTTTCTTTCTCTCCTCTCTCTTTTCTCTCCCATTTCTTTTCTAACTCGCTCAACTTCTCCTGTCTAAATCTTCTTTATCAACATTTCTATCTTCCCTTCCATTTCTCTCTTTTGTTCTGACCACTTGTCCTCTTTTCTCTTCGTGTCTTTTTTTAGCTTCTCTATTTCTCCTCTTACTTCTTTTGCTAGGGCTGTCATGTTCACCTCAACCCTTTCCATCTTCCCTCCCAGTTCTTTTCCTAAATCTTTTATTAACTTCTTTATTTCGCCTACTCCTCCGTCACCTTCCTTTCTTTCTTTTTTCTTTTCGGGTGATCTCTCCGTCACGCTGCTTTCTCTAAACATCCATCCGCTTGTTCGCCTCCTCTCCTCTTCATCTTTTTCTTTGGGTGTCCCTTCTTCATTTCCTTCCTCCCTTTTTCTTTTCCATATTTCCTCTAGGTTTGACATGCTTCCTATACTCTGGGTCCTTTCCCTTCTCAAAACCTCTATATTCGAGGGCCTGCCTCTTTTTTCCCCTTTGTCCGCTTTCCCAGCTTCCTCCCTCCCTTCCATACTTTCTTTTCCTTCGTCTCGTCTTCCATTCTTTGGCATTCCGATCCTCTTCTCTGCTCCCTTCCTCTTCTTTACCGACCATCCCTCTGTTCCTGTGGTCTCCTCTCTCTCTTCTCCCCAGGTGTCGCTCGTTTACGCCTCCTCTTCCTGTTTGCCGCTCTTTTCTATCTCTTCTAGATTCTAACCTCACAATTAATGGGTCCACTTAGCGTCGATTTTTCTTCTCGTTTTCGCCAATTTGATTTCTCCCTACACCACCGCTCTTTCCTCCCCCTATCCACTCACACTTTCTGCTACCCTTAAACTTTGTTTCCCCACTTTTCTAACTTTCTCGCTTTATAATCGCTCCGCTTAGCAAGGTCCACGTCCGCTCACGACCGTTACCATAACGGAACTGCTAAAATTGATGTTAAAAGTTGGCGAAAAGCAAGAGAGATCGAAATCAAAACCAGTCGCGGGTGTCGGCTTTGGTTTCAAAGGTTTCATTTATCCAGGCGAGGTGTCGATTCTGGACATTTAATGTTGCATTTATCCAAGCGAGGTATCGATTCTGAGTCCGTACACATCTTTTGTATTCAGCCGACATGTCGATTCTGCATCCGTACACATTATTTATATTCAGTCGTGGTGTCAATTCTATGTTGTTTATTCTATTACTATTGTTTATAAATATAATTCAAACTATATCGTGTTTGGTGTCATTTTAATCAGAAAAAATCTCACAAATGCGTTAGTGAAAGTTTCATTAAGAAAAAGTTAAAAATAAAAATGTTTTATCGTTCAATTAGTATTAGTCATACCGATATTACGGTCGGATCATATTACATGGTTTCTTCGTCGAGGGGTTTGGTTCGCTTAGCGGGATCCCCCCAAGTGGAGGGAATAGCGATGTTGTCACTTATCCAAGCATTCTTTCGTTGCATTTATCCAGGTTTTACTGTAGTGCGGAATATTACATGTTTTTTAAAAAATGTTTATTTACATGAACGAAAATTCTGTGGAAGGCGATAATGACCGTGTGGTTGAGTGGGTTCAATGATCTTGTCTGGAGATCAGCTGTTCTTCGAAATTTGTTCCCTCCTCGAATGTTTTGGGTCGCACAGTGAACCCAGTGAGAATATCTGCTTTTAGCATAGCAGGTTAATTTAGGAACGAATGAGTAAGTTTCATTTAAATTATTTTTAAATTTTTAATAATTATTTCCATTCAAACATTTTTATTTGTTGTATAGAATGTTCAGAACTTTCCTTTCTTACATTATGACAGGCGACAAGAGATTAGATTCCGAATCATTTTGAACAACAACTAAAAATGTTCAACCAGTTCAATTTTTTTATTGTGCTGTGCCAACGGGGTGCCGAACCGTTCGTTCGCGACCTACGTCAAGCCCCGCTTTCGTAGCCGACGCTGCCGTCCCTGAGCCCTCGCGCTATACGCGCTCGGATTGGTCTCAGTGTTTTCCTTAATATTTCAAAAACGAAGCTTCAAACAACTTTTTCGCAAAGGAAAAAGTTGTTCAGAATCACCCCAGCTACCACCTCTTCACTGGATAAAAATGAGTTCTGGGAAACCCTGTATATAAATAAATATTATAAATCATTACATGTCTTTATTTCTTATTCCCTTCTTGAAATTATTAATGCCATGTAGTTTACGTTGTTTCATTCATGATACTCCTTCTCTTTCTCTCGCGCTGTCTTTTTCTATCTCCGACTGGAATCAAAATCTCGGCTTGAGCCGATTCATTTTGGAAGCTTGGTCAGTATTGTCACAGAATGCGGTAACACCGCGACAGAACTCTCAAATGCTGTGATTTGACAACCATGCCACCTTACTTTTGTTTCTTATTCTGCATAATGACGTTTGATGTTACACCGTCAAATGTCCAATTTCTTAATTATGTTTTCACGATTGCCCGATTCTTTCCAATGGCGCTTACATCGATTCGGAGCAGGCTTCGAAGGAGTCTGTGCCCTTAACATCCCATTTTAGCAAGTAAATATAATTCAAACTATATTGTGTTTGGTATAATTTTAATCAGAAAAATGCGACAGTAAAAGTTTTATTAAGAAGAAGTGAAAAATAGAAAAGTTTGGTAATTATTTAGATTACGGACGGCGCGCTGCAGCTAATGTTCTCCGTGCACACTGATGTAACTTCAATCGTAAAAATGTATGGTTCTAACTAATGGAATGATGTGATGTGGCAGGTTGTTGAATTTGTCTCAACACCCACTACAATATTATAAGTAGAAAAATATAGGGTGCCATTTAAAAAAATTGTTTTAGTTTCAAAATCTCCCCCATCACTTCACCTATCGAAACATTATCTGCACCACATAACGTGCCCGCTTAAATCAAACAAGTGTTGTAGAAACATTTTTTTGATAGCTTTAACCGTTTACGAAATATTTGACCATTCACACTTAAACGTAACACCCTATATATGCGCGCGCGCGCGTGTGCGTATCAAATAAATTGGCTTTTTAAAATATCAATGAAATTTCATGGTGATAAAATAATTTTTTTTTAATGGTAATGATAATTCTTTCGATAAAAAAATATTTGTTCTTACCCCTGTGTCCTGTAACATTTTCTTTCCCTCGTCACTTCTTATACTATTTTCTATGTATTCTCTTTCCTCCTCTGATATTCGTAAATCTTGAGCAGGACTGTCAGAACCAAAAATAAAGAAAAAGATGCTCCAAATTAAGGCTATACCACCAAATACAAAGAATATGGATGGCCAGGCAAGCGATGAAGCTGCTAATACGCCGGAAATTGGAAAGGAAATTACGGTGCCGAATTGGGCTCCAGCATAAGCAAATGCTCCTGAAAAATATAAATATATAAAGAAGTATAATGATGTTTTATATAAAATCATTGAATTTATTTTTCTACATATAATCAAATATACTGATTAAAGGCTATAATATTCAAATTTAATGATAACCAAAATTGTTCCATTAATGAAACTAAAAAACTAAAAACATGGAAGTAAAAAAAATTAAAAGAAAATTATTTTAACAAAGATTACAGTACGGTATTAATAAAATGATTTTATAAAATTTTAAATAATACAATTTAAAAACATCTTTTTATTTGCATTGATAAATAAAAATTAAATGATGTCTGCTGAATTCTATTCAAAAATTAATAACCTAATACGGAACTTTACTAATGTAGATTAGCTCCTCTGTCTAATAGATATTCTTCCGCAAAGTTTGTAAGGTAGACTTGTTTACTTAAATAAGTATATTAATATAAATTCGTAAAAAATAGGAAATTACAATAGTACCCAAATGTAAGGCACTAGTCTACTCATTGGTATGATGTGGAATCCCCGCCACAGGTTACCTCAAACGTGCCGAAGTTCCACATTATCTAAATAAGAATATACTGTGCTCTCACGGAAAGAAGTGCTCTAGGAAGAATGTACAGTAAAACCTGGATAAATGCAACGAAAGAATGCTTGGATAAATGCAACATCGCTATCCCCTCCACTTGGGGGGATCCCCCTAGGCGAACCGAGCCGCTCGACGAGGAAACCGTGTAATATGATCCGACCGTAATATCAGTGTGACTAATACTAATTGAACGATAAAACTTTTTTATTTTTAACTTTTTCTTAATGAAACTTTTACTAATGCATTTGTGAGATTTTTCTTATTAAAATGACACCAAACACAATATAGTTTGAATTATATGTTGTAACGTGGTGACACCCGTGCCCCCCCGTTACAATCGCTGCGCTTTTCCCATTTTACACTTCCACCCCAAAACCACCCGTAACCCTTCCCTCATCTAACCCTTTCCCCCTGCTCACCGGTGGCGGGCCGATGGAGGCGACGGAAGACGTACAAGGAATACCCGCAGAAGGAGCTACGAGGCCGGCGACAGACCTCTACCCTTCCTCCAAGGAAACGGAGCAACATGGGACTCCGAAGAAATAGACGAAGCTGCCCAACTGATGCAAAACGTCCACCCGGAGCCATCTGTCGCCGAGCCCGAAGACCTCAGCCCACCCGTCATCGCGGGATATCCGTCAGCCCCATCGACCCCGAGCACCGGTGTATCGAAGATCGATAATCGATCTATCCCGTTGCCGGAAGAGGCCCCCTTCCTAGTCCCATCCCCTCCCCAAAACCATCCCGCAACGGTTTCGTCGTCGCAGCAGCGACGGCGAACCGTCACTTGAGCCCGAGGCTAGCGTTGCGAGTGATAGAGAGATTTTTGGGAAGCAATAGAGAGATTTTGGAAAGCGGTAGAGAGAGAGTAAGAGAGAGAGCGAGAAGTTTTGGGTGAGTCCCTTATCGTAATTATTGTATTAGCGAGATCGAGGCAACGGCTACCTTCTCCGCCCGCGCATTGTTCGACATAGGGGCGAGTCCCCCTTTTATTTTCCAAACACGAAGTTTTCCTCATTCGCGTAACGTAGACGAACTTTCCTGCGAACCCCTCCCGACCCTAGAGATTTCCCTTCCCACACTAATCCTCCTTGCGTACTCCCCCGCGAAGTATTGTACGGACGTAAGTGCCCCGAGACCCATCCCCTGTAAGACACCCCCAATCACCCCCCTTTTTCCCTTTTTTTTGATTCAAATCGCCACAGCGAGTGGCTGGCGCTCAACGTTGTGAGAAAGAGAGAAAATCGTAGAGTAAAGTCGGCGAAAGGAAATTCCGTATAGAGTGAACCCCCGAAGAGGGTCACAATGTATAAACAATAGTAATAGAATAAACAATATAGAATTGACACCACGACTGAATATAAATGATGTCGGCTGAATACAAAAGATGTGGACGGACACAGAATCGGCATGTCGGCTGAATACAAAACATGTGTACGGACACAGAATCGGCATGTCGGCTGAATACAAAACATGTGTACGGACACAGAATCGGCATGTCGGCTGAATACAAAACATGTGTACGGACGCAGAATCGACACCTCGCTTGGATAAATGCAACATTAAATGCCCAGAATCGATACCTCGCTTGGATAAATGCAACATTAAATGCCCAGAATCGACACCTTGCCTGGATAAATGAAACCTTTGAAACCAGAGCCGACACCGTGACTGGTTTTGATTTCGATCTCTGTTGCTTTTCGCCAACCTTTAACATCAATTTTAGAAAGTAATTATAATTGAAACTATATCGTGTTTGGTACCATTTGAATCAGAAAAATTTCACCAATGCGTTAGTGAAAGTTTTAATAAAAAAAAGTCAAAAATAAAAAAGTTTTATAGTTGAATTAGTATTAGTCACACCGATACGTTTCGGCTCTTTCCTTTCATCATCGGACCTCTCTCTTTCCGCCAGTGTCTGTCCCTTTCTACGTTCACGCTTGGCTGGTCGTCGCGTGTAACCCGAGATTCGACACCTCGCTTGGATAAATGCAACCACTGGGTCCCAATCTTGGTTGCATTTATCCAGGTTCTACTGTACATAGGTCTGATAAGGACTTTCGGCCGTAGCGTATTATTAATCAAAGAGGGCACATCTACGAATCTATGTCGACTTTTTTCATTTACACGGAAGTTTGTGCGAGGTACCTCTCTCGCCTCTGTACCGTTCTAGGGGACAGGTCAGGGTTCTTCTTTTTTGTGAACGCATGGTATACAGCTGTCATTGACAATGACAGATAGCTAATAAATTATCCAAGTAATAAATTATATTTCTCACTTTATAATTATGAGGTTAATTTTATATTTTTGCGAGGCCATAACGTACGTTCCGATCCCAACTGTATGTCTTTCATTCGACCACTACCATACGTACTATGCCGCTACAATTCGTTAACTTCTCTACTTCTACAATTCTTTATTATTGCATTTATTTTTATTTTTTCAAAAGTGAAAAGAAACAGTAAAATTAGTGTAAAGTCTAAATTAGTCTTTAAAGTCTAAAATTCTAGAATTCTAAGGTTCTATGTCTAAAAATTCTGACATCCTAAAATTCCAGAATAGCAGATATTCTAGAGTACAAAATTTCCAAATTCTAAAATTCTGAGTGTCCAGCATACAAAATTTCAAGACTTTAAAATTCGAGAAAGAAGAAAAAGAAATTCCAAGATTCTAACAATTCAACATTCTAACATTCTAAAGTTCTAAGCATTCATCATTCCAAAAGTTTAATATTTTAAAATTCTGAGCTTGCAAGATTCTAATACTGTTACGTTTCCGTCTCGGAAATTTCCTTATTTTGGTGTTACGACTCCTTCTCGCAAATTTCCTTACATGGAGTCGGATGTGCACACCCGGAAACAGTCTTCTAGAAAATTCGAGACCAACGCGAAGCAAGAGCGCGGTCCTTCGGAGTCACGTATGGTCCGTCTCCACCACTCATTTTACTCCAATTTTTGGGTATAAAAAGGGTGGCGGCGAAGGTACTTTGGGTCTAGTTGAAGTCTAGAAAGAGTTCGATACACGTCAGTACATTTCTCTCACGAATAATCTCTGCAACGAGGAAACTCAGCGAGATCGGGTATTCAAGTCCTCTTCAAGCACTCAGTAACTATACAGTACGTTGTCTACTGTTAAGCATTATTCGGATCGTTGTAGCCCGCTCCCGTTTGCTCGCGTTCGTCAAAACCGAGAAGGATTAAATTCTTGCTTCGCGGAATCGAAACTAAAACTCTTATATTCAATTCATTTAACTTGTAAACTAGAATTTAACTCGTAGAACACTGTGATAGTTGCACTCAACAATTGTAAGGTCCCGACAAAGAGAATAAATTCACATTATTTAACTTATTTATTACTGTTCAATTATATTGACTAGTCCAGAAAACCCATTATGCCATTATAAAGGTGTACTTTTACCGCTCGAGGTACACTAATCAAGTTACGAGATTTAATACTAACATTTTCTGCGGCTCCCTACGTTAGCTATACATAGGTTCGTCCTCACGTCTTCACCGTTCCTGTGGCTCCTACATTAGCCATACATAGTTTCGTCCAGGATAACCAACCTCCTGGAGCTCCCTACGTTAGCCATACGTGGATTCGTCTCCGCGTCTATTTCCTTAGGCTCCCATTGTTAATAACAGTACTGGTTACGCCATTAACAATACCATAACCGAAATACTTTCAAATTCTCAAATTCTAAAAGTTTAAGGTTCTATGATTCTAATTGTAAGATTCTAAAATTATTTTTTAATAAGTATGTATCTTACGAAATGCTACATGTAATGCAGCTAAAAGCAACCACACGATAATGTTCTTATTACGTAAAATTATAAATGATTAAAACTTAAACAATATTAGAATTAGGTTAGAATTAAACAATATTAAACACCTGACATCGTTGATAAAGCGAAGAGATCTAGCCTACGCTATAAAGAAATCCTAATGAGAAACCTCAGTGTCGGCGGTTTATGTTGAATTAAAAGAGTTGTGATTGTAATCTCAAATCAAAGTCTTCTTTACAAAAATGTGAATGATTATTATTTTATATTTCGGGCATAATTGTAAATTTATAAATATATTCATATAAACGAATAAATTCTTACCAAGTCTTGATCGTTCAGATGGCGGTGCCCACTTTGAAAGGAGGGTATGAGTGCAAGGTAAAAGGCAACCTTGACAAAGACCCATACCTACTCTACAAGCGCAGACTGCAACGTAATCCCCATAAGCAGCAGCAGTAGGTATTAAACCGTTTAAAATGCCACAAACTAGGATTCCAATGCTAAGCAGTTTCTGACCACTCCAAACTGATGCTATATATCCACTCGGTATTTGTATTACCGTATAACCCCAAAAGAAGGAACTTTTAATTAGAGACGTCTTTGTTTGATCCCAGTTATAGACCTAATCACAACAATAATATAACCTTTGTAATACATATAACTGATCTCTTTTGTCAGACAATAAAATTTATTTGTAATTGATACTATAGAAAACAGCACATGTAAATATTACAGAACTAAAATAATATAGCAGATATAAAGTATTACAAACGATAGAAGCGTTTTGAAAGATTTTTTCGGAAATTATGCCCAAAAAGACTCCAGTCGCCGATGACCTTGACCTTGACATATGTTGTCAACGTTGGCTCCCTACGTAATGTCCTGAGTAACGTTGGCTCCGAAAAAAGTGACGGTCGCGATCCGTTCAAAAGTTACGAAGCATTAAAGTTTCCGCTTTTTTTCGCGTTTTCACGTTTAAGCAACCTTTTCCTATACATATAGTGTCCCACCTTAAGTGTTATAATTCCGTTATTCCGTAACTATTAATGATACAAAAAATTGTTGATATGGGAATTGCACGGCAAAAGAGAGCCTATGTTTTGGTCGAAGTGAAAAATCTTTTACATTATTAGTTTAAGAGATATGATGGTCAAGTTTTGTTTTTTAAATGCAACCAATATTTATTTTGAGATCATGTGATAGTGCTTTACAAGACGAATTCATTAAGCTTTAATGTATACACTCGATTTTAATTAGTTTTCAAGATATAACGTTTACAAATTTCCCGATTTTCAGTAGATACGTCTCGATTCGAGTAGCAAGTCGTAAAAGCGGCCCTATTGTTGCGGTAAATGTCACAGCGGTTATTCTTTGGGTCTGCCATTCCTAGCATAGACCCCCGCTATGGCACTTACCGCAACAGTAGAGCCGCTTTTACGACTTGCCACTCAAACCGAGATCTTTCTACTGAAAATCAGGAAATTTGTAAACGTTATATCTTGAAAACTAATTAAAATCGAGTGTATACATTAAAGCTTAATGAATTCGTCTTGAGAAGCACTATTACATGATCCGAAAAAAAATATATGGTCCCATTTAAAAAACAAAACTTGAGCACCATATCTCTTAAACTAATAATGTAAAAGATTCTTCACTTCGTCTAAAACATAGGTCCCCTTTTGCCGTGCAATTCCCATATCAACAATTTTTTGTATCATTAATAGTTACGGAATAACGGAATTATAACCCTTAATGTGGGACACACTGTATAACCGCCGCTTGGCCATAGTACCGATACTGGTCGAAGAAACCATTGTGAAAAAGAGCAATCCAGATGTCCATCGATGGCTGGTGAGAAACGCGCGGGTGCCTTTTGGTAAATTCTAACATACACGTTAGAGTTACATACAAGTGTTGTTGTTTATAAAAGTAATAGATGACAAGCGACAGTCATTTTTTGAATTTTGGCATATGTGGCCGACCGCCTTACGGCCTAACCTAATCTAATATAATACAAAATTAAATTAGTGAACTTGTTAATCAGTGAATTAGGTTAGGTTAGGCCAGAATAATATTCCGGCCACCGCGCCGTCAGGTGGCCGGCCACGCAAGTCAAAATTCAAAATCATTGAAATCAGTTAAGTTCGATTTTTTAGTTCACCCGTTATACTCCTTAGGTTTCGGCCGCCGTAATCTGTTTATATAATTGATAATTATATAATTTAAAGCCGCAACTTTACGATTTTTCCCAAGAATAACAAAATATTTTAAGCATTTTAAAATATAATAACTTTCTATTCTACTTACTTCCCGACAGAAGTTGGTCCAATCAACGACACTGCGCTGCGTGCAGATAAACACCAAAAAAAAGCGAAAACTTTAATGCTTTGTAACTTTTGAACGGATCGCAATCGTCGGTTTTTTCAAGGCCAACGTTACTCAGGGTCATGACCTTGACAACATATGTCAAGGTCAAGGTTATCGGCGACTGGGGTCTTTTTGTGCATAATTACCATCTTTTCTTATTAACTCCTTTATTCAATGTTCCTAATTAAGTACACAATTAAAAAAATCTGTTAGTATTGTATGTGTTTATGAGTGGTTTGTTATGAGCACATCAAAAGAGTGTTTTCTTTTGAATCTTCTGGGGAGATTTGAATGCTAGTTCTTAGCAAGTGGATTTATGTGGTTGTTTATTCAATTTACTAAATGAATACTATTCATCGCCTTGCATCTTAAAAAGTGCTAGTAGCAAAACTTGGCTTTTGCCGAGCCGTTACACGGATTTCAGTTGACAACGTTTAAATCGTTTTCACTCGGTTTAGAAGCAGCTATTACTGTTCATATGCTTATTGCAAACAGCACGACGGCTCGGAAGACACTCGTTTTGAAAGATAAAATTAATTTTATTATATGACAAGATGAAAGAAGAAGTTGCCAAGTTTAGAATGAGACGTGGTTGATGGATGTGTGATTTTCTGAGCTGGGTATTATTGTTAATATTTAGTTCAAGTATATTTTTATTTTTAATATGTAGGTAGATCAATAATGAGGTATACTAGGAAAAGTAGTGTCTTCACTCAGGACTCCTTAGCAATGAACTTGGACATGTTGTTTTTATATCACCTCTTTTATTGGCCGATGTTTTTAGTTTGAAACGTATACCTACACTTAGTCTTTATCTGAAGACTGAATGAAAGAACTTGGACATAGATAATTGATTTCATTTCTTTTATTGGCCTTTGCGTTAGGATTTTTTTGAGAGGGGGATGGGGGGGGGGAACTTGGCCTTTGTTTCACATTTACGTTTTTTTGGGGGTGATATCATTACTTTTTTCTAAGTGTTTAAAATAATGTAGATTGTTTTTCTTGAGAAAGTTTTCCATAAAGCTTCCTTCTTCCTACCAAAACAGTTTTAATAATTCTTCTTACACGGGAACTGGTTTATAGAATTATAATATAAAAACTCTACCCTCTACTTTCATAAAGAAAACCTCTATGGGTGGGGCACTATTACACTTTTTAGGCATTTTTGATCATTTTCTGTACTTGTGCTAAAAGAACCTTCTTCTCACCAAATTTCAACATTTAACCTACCCATGAAGTGGTTTATTATAGTATATTAGTATACGCTAGTCGCTAACAATTAAAACCCCTGTGGGCGGGGGTACTTTCAAACTTTTTGGGATTTTTCGATTTTTCCCTTTATTTACACATCAATATCTACCACCATGCCAAATTTCAAGTTTCTACCTACACGGGAAGTGCTTTATAATTTTGATGAGTCAGTGAGTCAATGAGTCATATAAACTCCAATTTTCCACCGCCTATATCTTGGAAACGGCTAAACGTAGAACTTTGAAACTCTTAGGTTTTGCTTATCTCCACTCTCGTAATATGTATTTTAAATTTCATGGGTTTATCTTGAAGTGGACAAAAGTTATGAGAGGGTGAAAATCGGCTCTAAACCTTCGTGTAATATACACACTGTGTGCGTAGGCAGGAACTTGGCCTGGCGCACTACCGTGCGCCTAGATTTTAGTTGCTATATTGTATCCGAACTCTGTTAAAGTTACATTTACTGTAAATCAATCGCTTCGCTCCAGTACGTCAGCCACGAAGCGGATGGCGACCTAGTATAAAGTTAATTACTATAAATAGTTGTTTAATGCTATATAAAGTCAATAATGTATTCACAGGTTTGGAATAACGTACATACAACAAAGGGTATAGTCGGATAAGATGGTCAAAAGTGCCCCCAAACTAAATTCGACTTGCAATTGCTCATTCGATAGCTTATCAAAAAAACAACAGTTTGTGCCAAGTTTCAACCCTGTATCTCATGTGGGAGGGTAGTAATGGGCAAAAATGTAAAACACATTTTCGTCAATTTCTCCTATATTTGTGCATGAAAAATTCTGAAAAAAATCAGAGATATTTCTTTTTATGTGGCACATATTATAGTAGCTTTGCAGATTTTTAGATTGAAAACCCGAGTTGTGAAAAATCGAAAACCCCAAAAAATTCGGAAAAATGGCGATTTTATATGGAAGGAGTCGCGGATCTGGATTCATATTTTTTTTATAAGTGTATATTATCGATACTATTGTTCTCAATTTTTTTGAGAATTTTTGGTCAGGTGCGCCATAGTTACAAAATAATTAAAAACCGAGTTTTTCGCTATTTTTGCGTGTCAGAGTTACTTGTACGGTGAATTTTCGTCTGTTCTTTATCAAGTAAGTGTGTTATACAATGTTCAATGCTTTTACGTACAGTGAAACACAATAAGAATTTAAAAAACTGAATAAACCAGAATTATTGAAACTACTTTATGTGCGGTATATATCAAAAAATCGAAAGTATTTCCAACAGTGTCAATGTCTCAGCGGTTAAGGGGGTAGACACGGGTAATAGTAGCGCGTTGACATCACCAGCAAAAATGGGCATAAACGTGGGTTTACGCGCTTCCGTTATTCGTCCTTGTATGACAACATTTAGGGCTGGGTGAGGGCTTATTCGAAAGAGGAAGGTCCAATGCACACCGCTCAACTCATGTTTCAGTGGGATTATGTTGATGTTTAGTAATATAAGCGTCCAAAGAAGAGGTAAAAAATCGACAAAATGCATTCGCGGAATCGAAGCATTTTTAGGCCACTAAAAGAGTGCTGTGATTGAAATCATGAGTTGAGCGGTCTAGCCACAACCCTTACCTGTAAATTAAGATCTATTTTGTTTTCATTGGCGCGTGTTTAGAGTGAGATGTACGGTGATCATGCTATCCTTCGTTCAACCTAAATGATAGAATTGTCCCGCTCCAGTAAATTCTGACTGACCACACGCGTGGATTTTATATAACACACCGTAGCACCCCTCGCTGCTGAAAAATATATGCCTACTGTGAAGAACCGAAGGAACGTGCAATCTGAGAATTATTTTTAGAAAAAGTTATCTTCTTTAAATAAATGTTTTTTAATTAATAAAAGTATACAGGATACGTCATGCAACTGGGACAGGTTATATCTTGAATTTGGCAGGAGATAGGAAAAAGCTATTTATGTAAAAGTTCAATGGTATGATAATGTATATTTTTTTGTAATTTCATTTTTTTCGTGAATGCAACGATGTACTCAAAAAATGCAAA